GAGTTATTGGTTATTTAATATGAATAATAAGCAGTAACGACTCAACGCATGGGAATGCGAGAAGAGGAAGGGAGGTAATCAAAGGATAAATTCACCTTTTTAAATCCGAGTTCTTATTCGGCGGTTAGAGCATCGAGTTCAGAGTCAAGCGACTCGGATAGACATTCGCCTTTCATCCTTCTGATATGGACAAATGAGTATGGCATTGTACGAAAGAAACAGCAACAGACATTAAACCTTCTGCCAGTTACAACATTGAATAAACAGCTACCAAGTAGATAAAGGCGAATTGCAACCACAGGAAGAATAGACGTATCTCTTACGCACTCATGATTATGCCAGAACAACAAGTTTCCCTGTTATTTGCAAGGAAAACAAGTTTCCCCGCTGTAACGCTTGTTCAAGGAAACTCGCAGTTAATAAGATTCTCACTCCTCCGTAATGGAAGCCACCTTCGGAGTTCGAGGCCGATCTCAGTGCCACTGTGCCACCGTGCCTCAACAAGAGACTACATGCTACATCTGCATATAGCTCTATTACGAAAACAACAACAAATCAACGCATAGATAGCGAAATTCATAGGTGCGCTAGAGGGGGTTCATTAGTATGTTTAACTGGCTAGGTATGGTCCTTATAGAGCTCTGTTTCTCTGCAACAATAGAAACGAGAAACTGAATCGTAGGACCGTCAACTTCACTCGATTTGCTTAATCGGAGTTAAGTAAGTAATGCATGAAAGCCTGCATTCGACGGACGTCAACGGGTTGTATATGGGTGAATACCTACGCTCTCACGGAGACACTACCGTTGCAACTGAAGGCACTTCTGGCTCATTGCACGGACATACAGAAATAACCAGTGTCACAAATGGTGTATGTCATGGTAATATAAGGGAAACTGACGTTCCCGCGAAAAAAAAGCTCCCAATTTCATTTTCCCTTTCATATTCATCAGATAAGCTACGGTAAAGCTTCAAAACACTCATAGAAAAAAAAGAAAGGAAAAAGAAATCGGAATTTTACACTTTGTGCTGATTATCACACCGGACAGTCAGCTACAAGGTGGGTAATGGCGACCTGTAGTCACAGGGGGCGCTCGAATCGGGCAAAATGACCGTACACCTCGTCGATTCTGGTACGATCGGACAAGAATACCACACCGTCACTATTATTGACCGGACTTCCTACCGGTTTCTCGGCTGGTTGCTCCGAAGTAAAGTGGGCTATAGACTCCTTGCTCAAGGGAATTCACAAAGATTGAGCGGATTTGAACCTTACGCCTCGGCAATTCAAATCCCGACCTCTTAAAAACTGTGCCATCGCGCCACCGTGAACTCCAGACGTAGACAAGAAGTTGCTCACTTTAATATACGACATCGAAAAGGCGGTGCTCTGCAGCACAACCATTAGCAAAAAATTTGCTCTCGCTCTAACATCGTTATTATTTGGACTTTCATAATTTCACCGTCCCATATTCTGTGACCAACGTGGCAAAAATTATCATCACCTTAATACATCTTTGACGATGGCGCCTGTGCCTTCGAAACTTTGTTAGTCGCAAGTGACAAC